GCGAGTTGTTTTGGACTTCAATTAGAATTGAACAAAAACTTAATAGAAATTAAAGGTAGGGACGCAGTGGTTAGTGCGCGCGCCCTATGTATGGAGCTTTGGTCTCCAAGTGGCGACCCAGGTTCAAATCCGATCTGTGGCTCCTTTCCTCATTCCCCACTCTCTCTCTCTCCCTGATTTCTGACTCTATCCACTGTCCTGTCTATCTATTAAAGGTACAAAAAGCCCAAAAATAAATCTTAAAAAATCAAAGGTAACAACCGTATGTTACTCAATGCAGAAATATAAGCTGTTTGTAAAAAAAGTAAAGTACTTGAATGTAAACATAACTATAGTATGATAACCACTGTTCATGTGGCAGATGTACGTTGGTCAGTCTTAAAAAAGACAATTGATGAAATGTGAAAAGAAATATCTGTACTCATTTTTTGCACCTTGAACATGTTCTTTTAATTTTTCAGGTGGAAAAGATGACATCTGTTATAGAACTGCTTGTGGAAATTATGGCTTGCCTAACAGAAAACCAGTATGAGATATTCAAGCAGTTGATCAGATATGAAGTCTACAAAACATATAAATCATACAACCCTCGTTTGCTGGGGCAGACAAACCATCAGGACACTGCGTGTGTTACAGTTTCGACTTTTGGCCAAAACTCTGTTGTGAAGACGATGAAGATTTTAAAGAAGATGAACAGAACTGATCTGGTGCAGAAGTTGTTGGAGACCAGCTCAAGTTTCAAAAGTATGTCCATGAAGACCAAGATAATTTAAAATCATAAAACTGTCTCTAAACCTATTTCACAAGTGTTTAAGTTACATCTGTATCTGTTACATGATTTATAATAAGATTCATAGTGCACAGATATTAAGACTTATCAGTTGGTTTACCAATATATCTTTTTGACTTATGTTGTACCTCACAAATCATTACTAAACTATTTTGCCTGATAACATCTTTGTCATGTTTAAGATCAATCTCTCATGAGTTATTTTTTCCACTTTTTTCCTCAGAGAAACGCTCAGATGAACCACGCTCTGTCCTGTTGGAGAAAGTGAGTAATCACTTCACATCTGTCTGATTTACACATGAACATGAACATTTTGATGAAATATGATGAAATTTGAATTAATCAGTTTTTCACAAAGCTGAAGCTTTATTCAGGTTGAGCGTTTTAGCAGTAATGTTGTGCAGCAGATTCATAAATATCTTTGACAGTGCTTATGAGATGAAATGTCAGCACATAATCTTTTTCTGACTTTTTCCTTCAACAATAATCAATATAATAAAAAGAATATCTATCAGAAACACCCAGCTCAACACCTTAAGAGACACATTTAAAATTGTCCTAGTTGATTAAGCAAATGTCTCATGAGTGTGTTAACTATTCCAGGCAGCAACAATTGCAGCTGTTAAAGAGCTGCTTTTGGAAATCCTGCATTCTTTAAATAATGGGGAGTTCAGGAAATTCAGGAAGTTTCTGCTGTCGGCCTTTCAAAAGGACTCCAAAGACATCCCACTTTTATTGAGATACTCAAACGACCGTACAAAAATATTGGATGTGATGGTGCAGACCTACGGGCGACAGTCTGTGGATGAGACCAGAGAGATTTTAAAGAAGTTGCACAGAGTTGATCTCATGCAGATGTTTTCAGAGACTAGCTCAGAACCCAAAGGTAAGACAAATAAGAACAAAACAAATCTTTGATAAATAAGATTAATACATTTGTTGAATTTGATTTCTTTAGGCTATGTTGTTGTTACCTTGTAAAGCAGCTGAACTTATTAAAGTAGATCAACGTCTCATTAAATAAGATAATCGTCGTAGTCACAAATGTCTTTTCTCCTCAGTGGATGAGCATCAACCTCCAGTCTTTGAAAAAGTGAGTCCGTTTTTTACATTTCACAGCCTGATTTGTCTGATGCAGATTAAAAAACATCCAAGTCTTTGAACATTGCAAATTATGATACAAACCAAAACAAATGGATATAATTGGTTGTAAAGTTCAGCTCTGTAGTATTTGAGTTCTGTATTTCAGGTGTTTTAAAGGAAATGCTTCATGTTAAGTGCTGTGGAAGATTTCACATGTTGCATTAAATCATGTAGTTGTATTCAGTTTAACAGAGATTTAAGGGTGAAGGGATAGAGGAGATCTTCTATGTTATGTTGCTACAGCAAAATACAAACATTAAGAACAATGTGTTTTTGAAGAAACCCTGTTAACATAGCCAATAAAAGAAATGTTACCTATTGTATTAATCTCAAGTGATCATGGAGAAAGTATTCCGATAACTTCCCTACATCTCTGATTAAATCCCCAGAGATGTTCCTTTTTGATTTTACCATTGGAGAAATGACTAATTTGTTTATTGTCTTTGATATTTTTAGACGGTAAAGGAAGATGTGGAACATGTTCTTTCGGAAACATTGAGTGGTTTGAAATTTAAGGAGTTTGAGAAATTTAAGTGGGTGCTGCAGCTCACATACTTCCAGAGGAGTTTTACACGAATCCAGTGGCACGACATGGAGTGGGCAACAACTCCAGATGAACTGGTGTATCTGATGGTGAGGAACCAGCAGCCTGTGGAGGTGACCAAAGAGGTTTTATTGGACATGAACAGAACTGATCTAGTTGAGAGGCTGATGGGGACAGACTCAGGACTTCAAGGTGAGAGAAAGAAAACAAACACTGCCACATTACACACATTTATGTTTAAAGATATTTGATATTTCACAATTACAACAAAAGTAACGAGATCACAAATAAATTATTTTTTTTTACACAAGATAACAAACCTGTTTTATACCTGTGGGTTAATTTTCCAATCATATAAAAGTGGCGGAGTTAGCTTAATTTAACCAATCACAATCATCACTGCGTCTGCCGTCAGCAGATCGTTATATCCAACAAACTCTGAACTAAATTAAAAATAAGAAGAAGTTCAAGACAAATGTAAAATTATACGGGACACATGAAGTGTTGGTCGGTCTCTCTCCCTCCTCCGCTCTCTCGATCAGCTGCGGGAGCTCCAAGATCAAGAGATCTGACTGTTCAGTGGCGGAGATTTTTAGGTGTGCAGCAGGTTAGGTGTGCAGCATAGGTTACCGTGGTGATATACCCAGGTTAGAAGTGAACCACCTTCGTAGGACTGAAAACCCAGGGTTAACCCTGAAGTTACCTCGCTAACCCTAAATCCTGCTTTGTAGTACAGACCTCTGGACTTTTCAGTTTAATGCCAGATTTATTTGTCTGCGTCTGCTAAATGAAATTGTAACATTGTAACATTAGCCACTGACCTTTGTTATGTCAAATAATAAAATATTGTATTTCTGATCTGAGGCTGACGTCAAGCATGGCCCTTTAAGGTTGTGAAGATTTATTAACTTTTTATTTTTTATTTCTCTTCAGAGAAACATCGGCCTAAACTGCCTCATCAAGTGAGTAAAGTAAAATCAGAAACACATTAAACAACAAGGTTTCCATTTATTTCATGTTTTCGTTACATGAACATAATTATTCTCATCTTGATAGTAAAGTGGTGGAAAAGGTTTTCAGCTGCAGATGGTAAAGAAGGAGGACAAAAAAAGTACTATGTTGTGATGATGTTACAAAAAGAACACACTTAAGAATACTTTGTTTTTATAGAAATTGTTGGAGCCAAAATGTGGGTTTATGTTTTGCCCTTTAGTTTTCCTTTGGGTATGTGTGTGTGTGTGTGTGTGTGTGTAATCCCTTTACTGGACACCGTGTGGAGCCTGAGCTGATTCTGTGCTCCAGGTGATGGTAGCAGGTGAATGAATAGTTTTCAACCCTGGCAGCCTGTCAGAGGTGAGCCTGATTTTATTTAATATACCAGATTTGTCTATTATTTAGCATATGGATGCAGTGGGACATCGTTTCATCCTTAGAGCTGAGCACAAATCCTAAATATCTTCCATATTCATCCCTCAAGTGACTTTTTTTTAGAAAATATTGGATTGGTTAAAATTGGTCACTACAGTAAACTTCAAATCTGAAATCATCATGGTGTCACTGTGACTAAGGTACTTGATATTTATTGTTACAATAAGCTGTTGAGGTTGTGCTTTGCCTGTCAGCACCTGTGTGTCTGATCAGACTTAAAGCTGTTTGTTTGCTCTTAGTGACATTGTTTCCTTTTTTATAGATCCTTGTTTGTGTTTTACTTACTCTCTGATGTATGTTGCTTTAGATAAATGCGTCTGCTAGGGGAAATGTAGAAATGCAGAGAAATAATAATAATAATAATTGAAAAAGAGTGAATACTGATTCTGATGGGTTTGTGTAAATCACTGTGGAGAGTCAGTTATAACTGTGGTGTGGTGGTTGAAGAAAGGGTTAATCATCAGGGTTTTAGGTTCCTTTAATCTGAATGATAGGAATCTATGAATTCTGGATTTGTGGAATTGTGGTTATTAAAACAGAACAAACAAGTACAAATGAAAATGTGTATACAAATTACACACAACCTCTAATAAACATCAAAGACCTCAATTAGCAAGGTGATGTAGCCACATGGCTTAATTGCTGGTTAAAGTCGTCATGTTAGAGATGCGTGATCTTGTCTGGCTACACATTCAAACATTAGAAATGCTAAATACACACATCAGCTTTCTTACACCATGCTGTCTAAAGGAACATAAACAATATGCATTTAGCTTTCAAATATATCAAAGAATGCTAACAAATTAAAAGTATTTCCAGTAATGCTAACAGAAAGAAAAGTATGAAATAAACACAGAAAGAACTTCTATTATTGAAGCACAATCTCCAGCTCTCACCAAAACATAAATTTTACTTATTGACTGCAAAACTTACAATAATTCTTTATTTGTATGGCACATTTTAATACAGGTAACAAAGTGCTTTACCACAGACAATAAAAGCAAACCGAATATAAAAGCAGCAGACAGGCAGTAAGACAAACAGACAATAAAAGCAGACTCATAGAATAAAAGATTAAAATTCAAAATGAAACCACAGATTAAAAGCTTTTTTGTAAAACAATGTCTTAAGTAGAGAATTAAAACGAAGGACTGACTCTGCATGTCTGATCTCCTCTGGCAGGCTGTTCCAAAGTCTGGGGGCTCTGTCAACAAAAGCCCTGTCCCCTTTAGTTTTCAGCCTAGACCTTGGAACAGCCAGCGGAGATCTGCCAGAGGATCTCAGACTGAGTCCTGGTTCATAAGGGGTTAAAAGCTCAGAAATGTAGATGTGACAATACTGTCATAACTTAATGTTGATGCCAGTGAACTAAAGTTTTGTCTACAGTTGAGATGAAGCACATAAACGCTCTCTGATTATGTTGACTCCATCAGAAATCCACAAGATCACTTCATTGGACACTTCGGCAAACATTGAGAGGCTTAAGATATGAAGAGCACAAGCTATTCAAGCATCACCTGCTGCATATCGCCCAAGAAAAAGGCCTCCCAGCCCCAGAACAACAAATGAAGAAGGCAGACAGAGATGATATAGTGATGCTGATGGTGAACATCTATGGCCAACAGTCTGTTGAGCTGACCAAAGACGTTTTATACAGAATGAAGAAGACTGATCTGCTAAAGACGCTCTCAAGGACCAGCTCAGGATTCAACACTGAGAGTAAGAGGATGAAAACTGACACATTACACAAATATATATGTTTCATTAAATACGACGACTACAGACATTGTTGAGCTGAATCAAGCCTCCTTGTTTTTGTGACGTTAATAATGAGTACATTTAAGTTTAACTTTTTGCCAAATACCGCACATCCAACCCACATAAGTTGTACATTTTTTATTTATTTTTAAGATGTTGAGATGGTGCCATGTTATATTTTATTCACAAAACGACTAAAACTGACTAAAGCTGCTTTTTGTCTGATTTTATTGAGTCCTTTTCTCTCCCCCCTTAGAGAAACTTCAGCAAAAAGGTCCACAACATGTGAGTAATGTTACATCAGACACTCTACAGTTTTCATTTCTAACTATTTAATTAACAATATTTACTTACTTTTTTGATGAAGCAGGAATCAACCATGACACCGGTCCATTCACAGCTTTTAGAAACACTGGAAGAATTAGACCTGGAGAAATTCAAACATGTCTTGCTCTACACTAAAATGAAAGAAGGGCTCCCAAAAATCCCAAAGGACCAAGTGGAGACCGCAGACAAAGATGAGATAGTGAAGCTGATGGTGGAGATCTATGGCCAACGCTGTGTGGAGGTGACAGAGGATATTTTAGAGAGAATGAACAGGACTGATCTGGTCGGAAAGTTGTCAGAAAGCAGCTCAGTATCTAAAGGTAAGTTTAAAAAAAAAGTGTTATTTGACTATAAAACATTAGGTGTACAGAACCTGGACTGCATTTTTAAACCTCTATCTTTTTTTTAGTTTTATAATGCTTCTGTGACGCTGATCAGCAGGAGACAGAGGCAACATGTGTTTAGGCTTTTCTGTCCATTTGTTTGTTGAATGTCCCATGTTTTTAGCTAGAGTGTCTGGAGTAAATATCTTTAAAGTTTGCACAAACAACCACTAGGATAAAGCAATAGTGTGATCAAAGGTTAGGGTCACTCACCTCACATCAGTCCCATTCTCATGATAGCAAAATCACAGCAATGGATAAAGGGGATTATGTTGGGATGGGATGTTGTTTTTTAAAAAAAAAAGTCTGATAGAACATCATGTGTACAAATTCTCAAAATGTAGGTCCAAAGTTTTGAACACACTACCCTTTTTCTTCATGTTTTTTTTTCTCCAGCTGTTAAAAGGGTTTAATGACATTCACATGCTCTGCAGACAAACACAGATACAAAGAGAAGTTCTCTGCTAATATAGTTCTATTGACCCTCTACTGTAAGCCTTCTTATGCTGCACCTATGTTTTGATATACAATCACTGCCCCAGCAACAGTTACACTGTCACATTTTGGAAAAATCTGATTGATTTGAACAGCAACTTGACTGGTTGACATAGGTGTAAATTACGTTTTAGTTTCTTAATTCAAGTTATTGATAATTGTATATCCATCCAGATAAGCTGCACAATGTCTTGCAACACTATAGCTCCCGAAGATAAACTTCAGGGTATAGCGTATAACCATGACTGGTCTACAGGCAATTTAGAGTCACCAATTAACCTAACGAGCATGTGTTTGGACTGTGGGAGGAAGCATAGTACCTGAAGAGAACCCACGTATGCACGGGGAGAACATGCAAACTCCACACAGAGAAACTCCTGTCAGACAGATTCAAACCAGGAACCTTCTTGCTGTGAGGCGACAGCGCTAACCACTTCACCACCGTGCAACAATAACTGTACATGAAAACCTAATCACTACCTTTATAAAATACAATACAATACTTTATTGTCCCCCAGGGGGGAAATTTGATATCACGGTTGGTAGGCTATACATGAAGAGAACATATAACACAGGTAGAAAAACACATAAGAAGAAGGGGTCAGTCAGCGTGGAAGCTTGTTTAGAGCTCTTTTTGAAGCGTGCCCTCTTCCAGGTCAGTGTTCTATAACCCCGACCCGACGGCAGAAAATAAGAGATACATGTAAGAGATGTAAAGTTACTATTCGATAATATATGTCTGAGTAACATACTTTAAAGAAACCTTTGTGTCTTTCCAAGGGCCTTTTGGTTGTGTGGAGCCTGACGACTGTGGACAAGAAATGGTAATCCCATCCATCATTCATTTTTTCTGTTTCTTTTTAATTCAGTATTTTTTTTATTTATTCATTCATTGTTGCCAATATAAAATGATTGTCTCTCTCAGCCGGACTCTGGTCACTGGACCAAACTTGATCCTGAAGTGAACAGTACTGATGGAGATGAGTCTCCTACATACAGGTACAAATATCTTCCTTAATACTGACCAACAGCAAATAAGATTTTTTTTTTTTTGACCAAATGAAAAACAATACTTTTCTTTGTTACTCCTTTTGTGCCTAAAACACTACAGTACAGTTATATACAAACTCATTGATGTCTTTCTGTGTCACTTAGCCTACAGAGTGAAGTAGGAAACGGTTTTGAATGCAATGTCTCCGGCATTCGCTGGATCTGTAAGGATAAGGTCAGCTTTCAGTACAAGTTTTGCTCTTGGGAGGAACACATTGAGAGGATGGAAAGCTTGAAATACTTGCCTGCAGGTCCTCTAATGAACATCAAAGTCATTGCTGGAAAGTTTGATGAAGTGTACCTGCCACACTGGATCTGCATAGGTGAGTGGAAATATAGAAAATAACTTAAAGGTCACATATTATCCTCCTTTTAACCCAGTTTAAATATGGTAAGTCTCAGAGGTCCCCAAAACATGCCTGTGAAGTTTCTTGCAAAAAAATCCACGACTATTGTTTAGGGCAGACTCAGTGGGCAGAACAAACACCGGGTGTCACCCACCTGGGGAAGGGGTTACTGCCCTTTGTGATGTCAATAAGGGGAAATCTCCAAACGACTTGTTTGAGCACACATATTCTAAAAAAAGGGAAGCAGGCTTTTCTCATAATTGGGTTTGTAGACAGACTATGGACACATATTAGTGTTCTGAAAACATGGTGAAGTGTATTTTGCATAATATGTGACCTTTACAATTGAGCAACTAACATCATTTAAAAGAAAAACTGATGCAATTATTTCTTTTCACTTATGTGTGCATTTGTATTTTGTGCAGACGGCAACACTGACATATTAGGAGAGTTTGCCGTCCTCCACATCGATGACTGTGGTGATGTTGTGGAACAAGTTTCCGAGGTCACGCCTTGCCATGTCCAGTTAGCTGAACCAGTTTTCTCGCCAAAGGGGGTTCTGATCAGAGTTGGTGCGCGTGTGAAAACACGCTGCAGCGTGTTGATATTTAAGAACAACAAAGCATTCCTCAAGCTCAATGTTTATCTGATCCCGTGTGATCCTGGTCTTCGACAGGTTATTACTTATCCTGATTTCATAAATATAAGTGATTCAAATCATGATTGTACCAAAAATGATCACAAATCAGCTTTTGTTGCAACTTTCTATTGTGTTTTTTTTCTACAGGAAATTCTCAAGATTGAATCAACCAACGGAAACAAAGAAATTCGAAAACCACCTGAATATAAGCACTTGAGAATGAAGGATCGTTTTATCCTATCAACCGATATGGATGGTGCAGCAATTTGTCCCAAAGTATGTTTTGAGCTGCATTTAAATCTATGAACTGTGGTTCTGAATAGTTGGATACTGTTGGATAAGTCAAATTAAACAATAATTTAAAAGTAGGGTTGTCAATAATAATGCGTTAATCACAATGTGATTAAGGTCCAAATTGAATGCATTAATTTGTTTTAATCATCTATATTGTGTGCTTTATGACGCTTTCAGTGTACCATAGTAATCCCACCGCAGTGTCTTCTTTATTCTTGATGCCACAGAGATAGATGATAACAACAGCACTTCACTTTTGAATGGCTAATTCACACATTCCGCACAGTTGACAAATCTAAGTAATAGGCACCTTGTGTCAAACAGAATTAAAAGATCAACAAAGTACGAGTGTGTTTTATACCTAGCATTTAAACAATATTTAGCAAGATACAGCAGATTTATCTTTTTATGTCTTTTTGATTCAAAAGAACATATCACCTTTTTGAAAAATGCATAAATTATAGCAATTTAAAAAAATCTGGTGCTACATTACTTCAATGTCTTTCACACATTTTTCCCCCACAGGAAGTCAAGCTCAAATATGAATTCACCGATCCACAGTACTTTCAAGTATGCATAAGAAATCCAGACACAGACTTCATCCTCAAGCTTACAAAAAAAAAAGAGAGTACACCAGTGTGGACCCGCACAATTGACGAAGGTTTGAATACATTAAAACTGTTTTTTTACTTAGAATTGTTACTGATGCAGAGTAGGTGACTGCTTTTAAACAAAGCAGCAGATCAAAAATAAATTATTGATGTAAGTATTTTACTTTTCACTTTTCAGATGATTACCAAAGCAATTCCCATGCACCAGGTAAGATAAAATAAGATAATCCTTTATTTATCCCACAGTGGGGAAATTTACATAAGGGTGGTGCCTCGGATTAGCTCTTCCAGGCGATGGTGAATGGACTTGATCTTGGAAAGCGTTTTTCTAGTTTCTGACTACTGAAAGCACTTTTACACCGCATGTCACACCTACCCATTCACACACTGATGGTAGTGGTCGCTATGTAGTGAGACCATCAGAAGTAACTAATCCCATTCACACACCGCCGACAAACAGCGGGAGCAATTTGGGATTAATTGTCTTGCCCAAGGACACATCGGACAAGTTGCTGCAGGGATCAAACCCTCAACCTTCCGATTGGGAGACGACGACTCTACCAACTGAGCCATAGCCGCCCCCAGAAAGTTGGCTGGCTCCCTTTTCTGCCGCTTCATATGGGTTTTTGTTGAACCTTTCTTAGTCTTGGTCCCTATTCCGTAGTGCACCAGTTTGGACCCGCACAATTCGAAAAGGTTTGAATACACTAAAACGGGTGTTTAACTCTCTAGAATTATTAGTGAAAACAGAGTAGGTGTGTCCTTTTAAACAAAGCAGAAAGTCAAAAATAAATTATTGATCTAAGCATTTTACTTTTCAGATGATTACCAAGGCACTTCCCATGCACCAGGTAAGACATTTTAAGTAATCATTCTTTATGTGTTTGGAAGAACAACTCTATCTTTCTTACTGTCAGCATCACTGTTCGAGACGAGATGCTGAAAAAAAGGGAAATGATCAATATTAGATTTGGGGAATACATTATATCCGGTATTTTCACTGCTCTGCATTGTGGTAAGACAGTCCTCTCCTATGGCCCTGAGTCTTTTTCAACAGTCCAACATTTAGATCTTAACAGCCTTCGCACTGTGTTACACTATAATGGCTGTTAAGATCAGAAAGACAAGAAAAAAAATGACCACCATATTTATTTGTGATGTACTGTCGAGTGATATTGGCCATAGAAAATCAAAATCAACACTAGTTAAGTCTGCAGTGGACAATCCAAACTCTTGCTCTAAGGTGGGCCATTTGTGTGTTTTATTTTTTTTTAATACACACTTAAAAGGGAATTTGAAAATAGTGTTGATAAATTGTAGAGGTGGGGAAAAAAATCGATACATTATAGTATCACCATATTTTGCGTGCTGATATATCATGTCATGGCAGCTAAGTATAGATATTTTTGATATATCAACAGTAAATATGCTTTTTTAATTGTTGGAGGCGACAATTTATTTTGAACAAGTTGCATTGTTAAAAATGTCTGTAATTGTTCAGTCGTTTATACATGTTTAAATTCAGTAAAGTTTGATTTGACTGAAACACAAACAGTTCAGATTGTGAGGTGCATGCAGCCTTTAACAGGGTTTTACTTTTATCACAGAAATATGCCATGAAATTGAAATGTGCCATGTCACAACTAGATAAGACAAATCCTCCAGAGCAAATTATATTTCTTTATTATCATGTAGTATTATCGGCGTGGTCACTACCTGGAGTCTGCATAAATAGAGCCTAGCACTGTGTCTGAACTGTTAATGATTATTATTTGTTCTTATCTTACTCTGTTATCCTTTTTTTACACCGATTTTCTTTGAATGAAACCTTTACCCCCTAATTACTTTGTAATACTTTTTTGCAATTTAAAAAAAAAACGTTTTATTTGATGCTCTTCGTGTTGCCCTTTTGTGTGCTGTTCTGTTAGAGCAACCTGGCACAAGAGTTTACTTCATGATCGAAGTTCTTTTTTATATTCATATTTTTACCAGAAACATTTATGTAGCTTATTTCGCAAAAGAGTTTCACTTTATAATTTGCCGATAGAGAATGAATGCCAAAACTATACAGTTAACATAAATAAACCCACACTCAGCCCAGTTTGAAAACTACAGACCGGTTTCACTTCTGCCCTATCTGTCAAATGTAATCTAGCGCACAGTCTTTAATCAGGTCTCTGAGTTTCTATCCACAAATGATCTATTTGACCCAAATCAGTCAGGTTTTAAACGGGGCCACTCTACTGAGACTGCATTACTGCCCGTAACAGAATCGCTACGAGCGGCTATAGCTGCGGGATGGTCCTCTGTTCTACTGCTAGACCTGTCTGCTGCCTTTGACACAGCTAACCATCAAATCCTCCTATCCACGCTCTCTGAACTTGGCATCTCAGCATCTGCCCTCTGCTGGTTCGTGTCCTACCTCTCAAGGAGATCTTTTAGAGTGTCTTGAAAGGGAGAAGTGTCAGAAGCACACAATTTATCAACAGGGGTGCCCCAAGGGTCAGTGCTGGTTCCCCTTCTCTTCTCCATATACACAAGCTCACTTGGTTCAATAATCCGCTCTCATGGCTTCTCATACCACTGCTATGCTGACAATACCCAGCTCTCTTCCTGTCATGCCTTGCTGATATCTCTACATGGATGAATGAACGGCACCTTTAACTCAACCGTTCAAAGTCTGAGCTCCTTGTCATCCCAGCCAGTCCCTCTATGCAACCACAGATCAATATCCAACTTGGTACAACCAAACTCATTCCCGCAAAGTCTGCCCGGAAGCTGGGTGTCGTGATTGATGACCAGCTAACATTTAAGGTTCAAGTGGCCTCGATTGCCCGGACATGTCGATTCGCCCGAGGGTTGTAAGACGCTAACTAGACTCTTCTCCTCTGTCGCCCCCCGGTGGTGGAATTTTATTTGCAGAGTCCCTTTGCACCTTTAAGAAAAAGCTTAAGACCCAGCTCTTTATGAACACCTACGACCTTAATGATATTATTGATGTCGATAATGATGATAATGACAATGACAATGGTTTTGTTTGGTAATTACATTATTTAGGCTGGTTTGATGCTGATTAGCACTCTCACGAAGAGCTGTCGGCACCTGTGTGTCTGATCAGACTTTAAGCTGTTTGTTCGCTTTTACTTACGTTTTTTCCTCCTTTTCTAGATCCTTGCTTGTGTTGTACTTATTCTCTGATGTTTGTCGCTTTGGATAAAAGTGTGCTAAATGAATTGTAGAATAAATCCACAGAAACGCAATGACATTTTGAATGTTAATTTCTGATGATCATATTTTTATCACTTTGCAATTCACACTTTCATTTTGTGATTCTAAAAGAATCTGACATCGCCAGATATGAAAGTAAATCATTTCATTTTTGTCTCCCCTTCAGAGGTGCACTTTGTGGATAAACACCAGTGTGACCTGAAAGCAAGGGTGAACAATATTGGACCAATATTGGATAAGCTACTGGAAAAAGGTGTAATCCGTCAAGAAGTTTATGATAAAATAAGAGATACCCCAACCACTCAGGAGAAGATGAGGAAGCTCTTTCGTGGTCCCCTAAAATCTGGAGGACAAAAAGCAAAAGACGTCTTCTACCAAATCCTTGAGAAGGAGGAGTCATATCTTGTGGATGATCTCAAGAGGAAGGAGTCTGGAGCGGGAGCAATCTGGAATTAAGTGTCTTGTCCAAGTACTCATCGGACTTGTTGCTCAGGAGCTGCGGATCGAACCGGTTGAGAGAAGACCGTCTCTACCAATGAACCACATTCGGGAAAAGAAAAGTGTTTTTTGCCAGTGACCAAAAGACTGCATATCACATTTCAATACAAGGCTTCAGATTTAATTAAGGACATACAATGAAAGATGGCTGAGTTATCTTTCAGAAAACTGAAGCTATAATCAGCTGTCTCTCCGCAAACACAGCAAGACTCCTTCATACTAAAAAAAAAGTATATTCAAATGTAGTGTTGTAGTCATGACCGCTCTAACCGAGACCAAGAAATACCCGAGACGAGAATACTCCGAGACCGAGAAGAACAAGACATTTAAGGATCGAGACTGAGTCCATAACCAAGACCAAGGCAGGTCGAGACCGAGACAAGAACTCGACCATAAATATCAATGAAAAATCATTATCTTGTGTGCAGGGGGACATGCCACTAATTTAGACCGTTACACTGGGAAGGTCTGGAGTCCGCCTTGTCTGATACCGAGACAAGACCGAGCCAAAATGCTTGCGATTCCTACACGAGATCAAGACCTCTACCGTTCAAGTAATACAACACTGTTCATATGTATATCCACATTTTAACCTTCCACGATTCTGCATATAGAACCTTGTTTTTAAAATTTTTGGAACAAATAATAATTTTTTTAATGAAGTCTATTTTCTTGCATTTCTCGTGTGCCAACATGAAAGTTAGAATCTGTAGAGGAGAAGATGGTACTCTTCTGCAAAATGCTGTCGAAAAATGTTTCTGTGATACCTATTGTAGGACCGAACGTCCAGTCAACCTGTACAAACAATTATTTTCATACACAAAGATATGTGACATATTGTTTGAATAGTTTGACTCCCTGGGCATTTATCAAAAAAAAAATAACCTTGGGACACCTAATATAGTCTAATCTGAACTGTTGCCCTACATCATATAGGCTACTTACTTTTCAATTGATGGTAATCTGATTGTAATGTGTGCTGCTCATTTATTTGTTTCATTTTTACGAGAAGAGGATATTATGCAAAATAAGCTCTTCTCAAACGTGTGTGTGCACAATTTGTATTTTATTTTGTTTTATTACTTTTATTTTACCCATATTAAATTAGTATTAAATTGATATTAAAGATCACAAGACATTTGAAAATAAACTGCTCACAAAAACCAAGGGAACACTTAAATCACAAATCAGATGTTGGTGAACGAATTGTTTAAGTGGAACATCTTCAGTGACATAGCCTATACGTTGTATGATTTGTTAGGAACAAATTGACGTAGCTAACGAGGGTCAATTGAAACCAAAATCTTCAACCCATTGAGGGCTGGATTCCAAATCACAGCGAAAGTAAAAACTACTGAAATCCCAGCCTTATCCAACTTTCATCACAACATCTCTTAATTTGACTCAGTCTGTATAAACTGTATGCACTCCTGACCATGTCTGGACATCCTCCTGATGAGTCGTCGGATGGTGTCCTGGGGGGATCTCCTCCCAGACCCCCAGGTGTTGATCAGTCATAGTTGCTGCATGGCCGACGGAGAGCAGCACTGCTAAAAGAAACAACTCTTAACTGGATCTTTTAAAATATACAATGAATTAATTAATGACAAATTTTAAAGAAACAGAAATAAAGAGAAAATATAAAGAATTTAGGTACTTATCCAGTTTTTGCTTTCCCTGTCTTGCTTGTTTTATACTCCGGTCCAATAGGTCCGGTGGCGGTAATGCGCCTTTAAGCTGGTTTCCTACCGCCATTAAACCCAACAGTGGAAGAAGACGAGCAGAAGAAGAAAAAGGGGCAGCTCCTATTCACATGTAGGTCATTGAACGTTAAGCAGTATTATTTGATGTCTTAAAATCATACATGTGCTCTCACTTTCATTCAGCGCATGTTGTTTGATACCGTTACATTGTTGGTTTTTATAATTATAAAGTTTAAGTAAACGTGGCAGCGTCACTAAGCTGGTAGCAGTGAAACAGCCTTCAAACTGAACATATGTTTATGTTTTAATTTGTGGCTCCTGATGACCAAATTGCACTCACCCTGTCTGTTAAAAAAATGCATATTAAAGCAGAAGCAGCACCGAATATGTGAAAGTTACTCGTTGCTGAGTTAGCTTTGTTTTTATCTTTGTTATGGACCTGTCATTACTCTGCTACACAGCTGATCTGAACTCCACATGAGCCACTGCCTGACCATAGACTGTAAATATTACTGGACGAACCCTGACCCGTCTGTTACATAGGCAGAAAATGAGTCCAATCAACGGCCGCATCCATATTGGATTTGCAGTCTCAACCTAACTTCGGATCAACCTAGCTACAGCAGTAAGGCGGGACCGGCGGGACTTAGCTCCACCCATTCAGCTCGACGTTAGCAGTCTACTTGACAGCATAGCTAACAGCTAGGCTGCTATCATCCCCTATTCCTGCTCGTCCTGAGAAAACTCTATAAACAGTAAGTTAACATTTAACTTTTCTACAACACAGTTAAAACTAATTATATTCAACACAAATATTTAATTAAAGTCTTAAAACTACACTTTTTTAAATATACAATCATGGTTATTAGTTATTTGTTAGAGAAGTTAGACTTTGTCAGTGTTAGCAGAGAAATACATTAACAAAGTTTTATCCATAAACTGTAAATAAATGAGACATCCAGAAGAAATCAATATTACAAAGCATATAGTTCATGTTACTGTTCTGACAAAAAGAGGAATGTCTGTGTTTTATATTTACTGATGTCAACAGCGATGAGGTGAACATGACAATTGAAAATAATTATTTAGTATTTATTATAAGACATTTGTTTTCTATTGAACCCCGTGAAGTCATGGAGTCTGTGGACAGTGTCAGCTTCACACCAAAAACTAAGTATTAGAAAAAAAAAGTGTTTAAGACTGGCATCTATTATTATGAGTTGCAGCTACCTTGTTCAATATTATTCCTGCAGATGTGGCTCATAATAAAAAAACAGCCTGAGCTGTCACATGTAGTTAACTGTACATTTTGTCTTGTCTGAGGCATTAATTGAACACCTTTGTATTTCTCCTATAGACACAGTGTGGATTATTGGGGACTGGTCCGTCGAGGTGCCCAGAGAGCTGCAGAGACAGAGGAAGAAACCTGAGCCTCAAGAACATCTGCATTTGTTGGTTCTTCTGGGGTGGACTTCGGTTACTTCTCTTCAACAGCTCGCTGTGAGGGAGGTCTCCCCCGGATGGCCTGAGTGATGTCACCCACAGACTGAGAGCTGAGACGGGTTTTAAGCCTCTTGACAAACCGTTACCCCGCACCCGCCTGTCAAGCTGGTCAGCTACACGCCTTATTGTGAATAACTCTTATCCTTCATCAAATCAAAACTGATGAGTCATCAAAACATTCACCCCCCCCGTACAGTGTGTGTCCATCGAGACATGAGCTAATCACACCTATTTGTTTGTTTTGTACCAAGCTGTAAACATGTTCATCTCTGCTGTAAAAACAGATTTTTTTAATGTTGTTTTTCAGATTAAATAAATATTTCTATATAAATAGACTCCTTTATGTCTACTTATGAGTATACATTTCAGATTTGAAATGACAAGACTAAAATGTGCATTAATGCTCAACTCAATAGCTTAGGGAAGGAAGTCTACTTTTACACAACCTTTTATTCTTTTGATAAATACTAATGCAGTTCATTTCTTAAAATGGGATGGAACAGAGTCATTGCAAAATGATGACCTTAAACACAGCCCCATTCTTAAATCAAGATACATGGAGAGTAAATAAGATCAATAACTTGTGAATAAAAACACAGTTAAAAATGATTTAGAAATGTAGTCTTCCCAGATCAATATCACATAATATCAACTTCTCCCATCTAAACTGGACAAAGGGTTTTAAAATGGGAAGAAAATAGTTTGATTGCAAGTTGTTTGGAGGAGATCTATTTTTATTTGAACAGCATGAATACAGTCTTCCAAGGTGCAAACCCTCCTCCTCCTCCTGAAGCCTGTGGAGCTCGTTGATGTACTGCTGTCTTATCTGCTGGCCATCTTCTCTCAGCAGAACTTCGACTGTTGAAAAGTCATTCAGAAGAAGCTCGAGCATGTGACATGGATCCAGGAGAACATGGACTTTTAGTGAGAGGTCTTCAGGATGGCAAAGAAAGAGAGAAAATATCAGTTATTCATTAAATCATTTTGTTTGTTCTCATCTATTTTTCTGTATTCATCTGTGTGTAAGAGCACATTTATAAATTCAACAGTGTACTACCCAGACAACAAAGGTACAGTATTCAGGTAATCAACATCTATTCAAAGTTAAGAAGATAAACCTTATTGTAATCATGCTGTTTTCAGCTCTCTCACTCACACAATGATATTCCACATCAGATTGTCTCAGATTTTGGGTGAGGAAAAATTAAGCAGTTTATTGTGGATAGTACTTCATCTTAACATGAAACAAATATAACCTGAATTATTTAAATCATTAACAGGTCCCAACTCTCTGTGCTTTAGTACAGAACATACAGTAACTCATTTATTATTAACATGAGCTCAGTACATGGCTGTACTCTTCAAACTATTTCTTATACTTTATATCTATGTGCTTTAAATCTTATTTTCATACATATTTCATATGTTATTGATATTTCTACTGCTATATTCTGTGTATGAGTTCAGTGAAAATTAATATGGTTATTAATATAGTTCTTAATGGTTACAGATGCTCTTACAAAGTGCATTTTTTTTTATTTGTTAACAGTTTGCTCAAATCTTAAGACACTACATCAACCATGTAACTTTAATGTCATCCTCTATAACCTACACAGCACATTAGGTTCAGTTCAGTTTATGTTACTGACGGATAATTACTACACAAAGTTTGTTTTTTAATGTCCACATTTAGGTGAAGTATAACATTCATCATAACGTCAGATAACCACCGAGGTGAACCTTTAGCTTCTAACATCACACAAACTCATTATTTTCAACAACAACATCTTAACAACAAACATTTCTAAACCATTGACCGTAAATAATGTAAATAATATAAATAATGTAAATAATGAGCTACACTGAGTACAGTTAGCCGACTGGTTTACAAGCTAACGCTAAACAAGCTAGGTCCGTAAATATAAACACGAGTAAGCAGTAAATATAACACTACTATATCTCTTACCGAAAAAAACTGAAGCATCAACTTGTTGGATGGTCTGTTAACCGCACAGCAAGCCATGTATGTTGTCAGATATGTGTTAAACAAACTCTCCAAACGAAGTAAGAAAGAGGAGAAATCAGACGGATCAGGCTGTTAGCCTCCTGACCTGCTGACCGCGCAGAGCTGTCAATCAAATCTGACACAACCAAATATGGGCATAGTCGTTTTCCTTAATAGAATAAAATCCGATGAGTTATAAAAAAATTCCCCCCCCCACAGTGTGAGGAGAAGGGGCCGTCAACTTCTCAGATATATCTCGTTTTTTGAACCAGGCTGTAAACATGTTGATTCCTGTGGTAAAAACGGGCTTTTTTGGCTGTGGGCTTATGGCACTTCCGGAGCTTCTGCAGCCAGCCTCAAGCGGAACCTCGAGGAACTGCAGTTTTTTGTACTTCCGCATAGGCTTCATTTTTCGAGACCGGAGGTTGCCCCTTGGTTCAGACGTTGATAA